CCTGATGGCAGGTGGGAAAGACGTAAGCAAACCAGCCCTTTTGGCGCTTCGGCTGGGACCGTATGCTGAATGTTGGGGAGGGGATGGAGTCCCCGACGGTGGACGGACCACTTCAACTCGGTCCTTAGAACCGCCACAATTTGGTGCTTACCTCAGAACTAAGCCTTAAAGAGAGGACGGGTCCGTCCCCTCTCCAAGGCTTAGTCCTGGGGTGAGCAAACCAGCCCTTCTGGCGGAGCTGCTGGACCAGCTGCACCACTTGCGTCAGTACTCTCCTATCGTACCAACCGAGTTGAAGTAAACCGTCGACCGTTGGGGACCCCATCCCCTCCCCAACATTCAGCATACGGTCCCAGCCGAAACGCCAAAAGGGCTGGTTTGCTTACCTCGGAGGAAGCCATGGCACACTTCAAGCGATGGACCTAACGATGGAGTTTGGACTTTAAGTACTTTCATTCACACAATACTAATGTTTGCAGATAAAATTATGAAAAAATTTGTTTCCCAAGTACAGAAGAAACCACTACCCCCCAAGTTATTTTGTCCTTTATCCACCGCTAATCGCTGGCAATTTAGGGTTTCGTTTACGGAAAGCCCGCTCTTATATTTCGAGGCCCTTTTTCTATGCTAGAAGCCGTTAAAGTACCGCTCCGTGAGCGGCAGCGCAATCCGAAGGGTCCGCCTGTTTGAAACTTGTCCTACAGTGATTGTTGCCTTACACTAGACAAGGCAATACCAACAAAAATCCAAATTTTTCAGGTTTTCGTGATTCCTTTGAAGTACTGTATTGCTCCGCCTCCTGAAGATGACGACGATGATGAAATGATAAGTCTTTGTGCAGAAGATTAACCAACGAAAAGAATGTGTAGTGTTTCTGAAACACAGATGGATATATTTATTTATTTATTTATCTCACTTTCCTAGTCCTTTAAGGCAGGTGTCATACTTCGCGAGCATGCGCGACGCGCGAGTGCGATTTTCACGGTGCCGTACTCCATCTCTTCCAGCAACGGCACTTCACACTCGCTAATCGCGCATACATTCGCAGAGTATAACACCTGCCTAGCCCCTATCTTCCGCGATCTCATTGCTGCTGGTCATTTCACTGTGAAACCACACTTCATACTTTAAAAATTTAATTTTCCTCTCAGAAAAAATGCGACTAAATAAATTACTAAGTACTTTTGAGTACTATCACAGTCACATAAACAACCATATAGAATACCCTGATACACGTAAATACAATTCAATCACATTATATCTTAAAATTGCACAAGAAGTGAAATCGTCTCTCGTAGAACTAGAGTGCTTAAAAGACACTATAAAAGGAAATGCTAGACTCGTGGCAATAATTAATAGCTCTCCTAAGGCAAAGGGAATAATAATTCAACAAAACTCTATGCTCAATATGAGTTAGATGATCGGAGAAGTTGTACTTTTCAGTCACGTTCCTTAGCTTCTGCATTTTGTCTTTCCTCCAGTAATTGTCTGTCCACGACCTTAAAAATTACTTCGATTTTGATCATGTAGCACTGATGATATCACCAGAGCTATAAAGCAGCGTTTACCAACTCATCAATCACGAGCGATAAGCTCATCCTTCTCCTGCTGGAAACAAGAAAGGAACAATGCTCCTAATTACGCGTGGTTTCCAGCGATCAAGAGGACAGGTAAGGGCATGAGCACCAGGAAATTCTTTCCTACTTCAATCGAGAAAGAATATATGTTCTCCCAGCAGGACCCAAACCGGGCAAATAATATGCGATTAGCGGCCGCATGCAGCAGAACCGAGGACGAGGACCCATTGGGCTGCTCTGGCCGGCAGCAAGAAGTCTGTTGAAGGATTGCGCTTCGGAGCAGGGTCTGTCCTATCGTTGTTACTTTTCGAAAAATTTTACGACCCCCCTCCCCCAACGTGGATTTGATACGACCCCCTTTTCCCTACCTCCACCATCTCCATCTTCCATCAAAACCCCGCCCACTTTTTCCTCCAAAAATGCCGTCGAGCGGGGGGGGGGGGTATATAGTCACTTGAAACGGCAAAATCTTCTATTTCCACCATTTCAACCCATTTTTTACCTATACTCCCACTACTTCCTTTTTTTAGGGGAGATATATACGCCGGCTAAAACGGCAGCAAATTTTTATCCTGCGCGCCCTCCACTCGCTCAGCCTACTACCCACGAAATCTTAGGTTTCACTTCATCCACTGTGATTTACAGCGAACCCCCTCTACAATACTCAGGTACAACCCCCCGTTAGCTTACTTCCATAACAACGTTAGGGTGACCCGCTTGTCACGTTTCAGGTATACCTAGGGCGTTCGATTATGGTACGAGCCAGGTGTGCGACTCTACGTCATTCTTCTCATGCCGAAAGTTTCAAGTCGAGACGGATGTCGTGGACGAGGCATGCATTGCGAGGAATAATAAGGGCCCTGCTGCCAAATCCGACGGAGTGAACAAGCCACATCTGCACATTCAAAACAGTGCCCCTTTTCTTACATTCAATGCGTAGGATGGGACGCAATTTTTTCGTGGCGCCGCCGACAATAACCTTCACACCGTAACCAAATTTTGTTTGTAAATGAACAAAAACATGAATGTCACAAAATAATTTCTGCAATGTCCAATGCGTAAAGATTATCTAAACATATAACAGTAGGATTTCGATCAGAACGACGAAATAGTGGTTAACGAAAAGAGAGCATTTATTCACTTTCCCCGTAAAAGGAATTGAAAAGCATTTTGAACTGGTTAGGTATGGAATTTTACCGCTTATCCAACATTCCTAGGCTGGCAAGCGATTATTAAGCTAGCGTAGCAATATGGGCTACCCATCGTCCAGGCAGCACATGCTTGGTGGCAAGCCCATATGGGCGGCCATCGGCGTGAATGTGTTAAACCTTTGCGGACAGCCTGATAGAACTAATGGATGGGAATGATCATTCAAAGGTAACGTCCACAGAAAAACCGTGACTCTTTCTCATCCACAGATATTATCTTGAGACGTCATTACGATAAGAACGAAAAAAAAACAAAAAAAATTGTGATTTGTTATTGCTAAACAAATTGTAAAAAGTGGAAGGACGTTACATGGTACAAGGATCCTGACCGTAACATCTGTCACAAATGATTGGGGACCGGAACATCCACTTGGATCGCAGGTTGTCTTTAACAAGGAACCTCAGCGTGTTTCACATCGATCGGCAATATCATTTCTCCTCTTCGTTCGATCATTTTGTCTCTATTCTTCTAAGGCTTCGAAGGTGAATTTAGCCCATGACAAATCAGCATAGGGGTGGTCTATGGTGCAGGGACGAAGATAAAATCAGGAGAAACGATCCGTAATCCGAGAAATGGGACTCAGCCTGCGCCATGATTGCCGTATTGTTTGCGACTGGTTCATCGGTGCGTACTCTCATCAACGCCAACAAGCTCTCTCCTGTTGAGTGTTAGAACGAGGCAGACTGGTACGGCCGTTAGGCCCTGTTCAGAGATGTCCGCCGGCGCGAAAAAACGCACAGGCGAAAATCTCCGCCAAGATTTAGATACGCATCGACTGAGAAATTGTGAAACGCGTAAGCGAAACGTCCGGAGCAGGCGAATTTCAGTCAAGAGTTTGATATGTATCGACTGTGAGAAACGCACAGGCGGAAAATCGCGTGAGCGAAGCGTTCGTAAGTCGATGCGTATGATACTCATTTTCGTCGATCCTCCCACTTCACGATTCGCCTGTGCGTCTTCGTTCAGTCGATACATATTTCACATTGTTTCGCCTATGCGTTTTTTCGCGCAAGCGGACATCTCTGAACAGGGCCTTAGCAGCGGGGCCAACCTAGGTCGGCTAGGGCATATCTTCTTGGATGGGGGGAATCGGTCCGCATCCTTAGTACGTCCGCTACCGACGCGCAATTCACAGCAAAGGATACCCTAGGCCGTTCTAGCATGGTCCTCCCTGCTGCGCAATCGGCGCTTACGCCTCTTCTCTCCTGTCTTCCAGTTAGATAAGTTTGCCCTTCTTCGACATTCGACCTTCGTGAAATCCTCCTTTGATTTCATTCTTTTAACGTCAACGTCGCCTACGTGGCCTCCCCAAGGTACTTCTTTGCGCATTCCCGTATTCTCGTGCGACCTACCCGCGATCGTCCACAGATTGTGGTTTTCTTCTTACGCGCAACTTTGTACATTCTCTCCAATATTCAAAATTGACGTATTCATAGGAAAAGAATGTGAGAATTTTCCGTGAGCAATTCCTTTGAATTGGTGGAATGTGCCTCCAAACAAAAAACAATTCAACCCACCTGCCAAACCCATTTCTGAGTAGGAGCATTTTCATCACAGCGCTGCATAAATACAAAACCTGAGCCGTCTGGTTCAGCTGATAGGCACTGACCCGACACCTGTAGTAACGGACAACAATACCGTAATGAGAAAGGATCAAAATCAAATCGCAAACTTGCCGGATGAAAAATCAATCCCGTATCAACGTTAAATTTGAAGAGTTGGTTCCCTTTCATACTATGACTGAAAACACAACATGATTTTTCGCTTTCCTTGTGAAAAACAACAAGTGTCACTAACCAATCAAACAACACAACAGGGGCTTTATCTTCTGACGAGGACGCGTCAAAGCATACCGAGCGCCCTAAAGGACGAATATCATGCCACCGAGTCAGCCGAAGATTCTACAAAGAAAAATCATGACCGAAATGCAATCGAAAACAAAACAGTTGAATGCGGAAGCACAATTACCTGCTCGCCGCCACCATTGGGATCATCACTGATACATTTTCGTAATCCGAACCGTTGATGTGCCTGCTTAAACTGAGTGTCCACGCACATTCCTGCACCTTTATTGCGCAACTCCCCTAAAAAATTAGAAACTAATCAAGAAATTCGTTAGAAGAATGCCGGACATATGAAAAAGAGTAGCAGAAAGGAGATGAAGGAAAGAACGGACATGCCGTGCTGCTAGTATCAAGGCGGTTTGCCATAATCCGCCTTCTTGAGAGTATTATCGGAATAATCCACACCGTTGAAGAAAATCCGCGTGCAATACAAACACTGAGCTCAATTTCATTTGTCTACAATCTCCTTCACTCCTCTACTCCACGGATTTTTTTCTTTTTAACGATTTGCCTAACAATACGTCGAGCGATTGGGAGAAAAGGGTGTGTGACTTCAAAACGGCGAAATTCTGTACAATTTTCAACGTCTTCACGACATATTCAACTTTCAACAATATGAGAAGAAAATGAGGCCGATACCGGCGAAAGGATTCTGTTGTTCTACCCGCTGATGTTCGCATTTGATTAGCTTCAATCATCTTGCTGCTGGCGTTATCAACATGAACGCTCTGCTAAACTGGCTAGAGCTGGCAGCAAGGGACCAATTCCCGCGTCAGGCCATCGGAGGGTGGGCAGAGGCATGAAATATCCACAGGGACGAGTGAAGTCTTGCTAGCGTGCCCTTTGCCGTAAAAGTACACTTTCACAGTCCTTTAACCTCCCACGTTCCCTTTTCTTCAACACCTGCTAGGCTCTGCCAGCTGCCTTCAATGGATCTTAGATTGTACCGAAAAAGACCTTTCCCCAGATAGTTTTACAGTTGAAGTATTATGTACACGTCTTCTTGTATTACAAAAACTAACCGCTCGTTGATGGCTTTGGCTCCACAGCTGGATAATACTTGTCCTGATCGAACTGGCCACTATCTTTGCATGAACGCAGCTTCGAATGCTTTGCCGTCTTAAGGCCGCTCGCTGAACACGCCTTTTTGCGAGATATATCACCTAAGAACAACACTAAGCAGGTTATGAAGGAAGCACGAAGGTTTTGTTACCCGTGGTCTGCGTGTTGCCAACACGTTGCGCGATGCTTGTACAAGTTGTGCTTGTATTCATCCATCCACACCTGAAAAGCATATCGCAACTGATTCAGAACCATAGATTCACGATATCTTAAAACAACAAAGTAATAAAAGTGAAACCTACCTCAGCAACTCTTCTATAATTTCTACTAATGAAGTCTCCTACTCCGGCATTCTTGAACGGCAAATATTTGCAACGATAAATATGTCCAACACGAGAGAGCAGGGCGCATCAACCATGCGACCATGACCACTGCCACACCTTCAAATTGGACTGAGGATGGAGAAGCAAAAACTGGATATTTGTGAAACACCTCACCTTAAAACTCAGCTCATACTGTTCGCCAACCCCAAATGTCCAGTCCATCATCATAACCGCCGAGTTCCCAGAACCATTTGTCGAAATGGCAAAATAACCACCAGCCATCACAGGACTGGGGAACGGTTTCGTGGGATTTTCACGATCTTTCCTTGTCAACGGCAAGCGTTTGTAGTTGAATGCCCAATCGAACGAACCTAATCCAAAAAAGGTTGAAAATGTTCTGAGGTTACAGTCAGCACTATAGAGCACTCCACGCTCTGCAGTCAGCTTAGAATAGCCAAAGGTAGTACTTCGAAGCCCAGAACAGCCACGAGTTCAAAAGTAGTCTCACCTCGCGCTCCGTCATCTTGAGGACGGATTTCGTAGGTGTCACAATCGATCACGTCAACAAAAGGACATACGACCGTTCTAAACACAAATTTTAGTACGTGAATATACACATAATCTGCAAACTTTTGCGAAATAGGCTACGTTATTAAGCGTTGCAGTTAATTTTTTTTTCGCCTCTTTTCCCCCTTTTCAAAAGGACCCCCCCCCCCCCCCCCCCCCCCCCCCCCCCCCCCCCCCCCCCCCCCCCCCCCCCCCCCCCCCCCCCCCCCCCCCCCCCCCCCCCCCCCCCCACCCCCCTATAACTTTTTTGAGTTGTTAGGTTTAACGGTTAATAACCATCTGGTCGGCTTTAATTCTCAACTGGCCTACAATTTTTTTAACGGTTCGATGTAAACGTTCCACCTTCGACTTTTTTCTAAGATTTTTCTTTTCACTAGTGAGCAAAGTACTTATAATGGCATGTCAATAGATGAATTATAGTAAGTATAACAATAGAACTACTAACCTATAATCTTCAACGATCGGATCGATTAGTGGAGGTAACCAATTATAGTTCGCTTCTGAGTGCGAATCCAAGAAAACAAGAATTTCTCCAGTCGCTTTTTCCGCACCAAGCTGACGTGCACGAATCAGACCTTCTCTTTTCCTGAAATTCAGCAGAACATCTAAACACACTCGCCCAAGACTTGCCATACTTGAGCAAGCACTTCTGCATTGCTACTTTCGTAGTAGAGGAGGTCTCCTCGATTAGTACCCCTGTCTGACTGGCAATTCTACCACTAGCTATGCGAACAATTCTGTCACAAACGCAACTCTGTACAAAAGCTCAAGAAGGTACATAGGGTTTGAGATATCAGGAAAGTATATTAGATCATCTCTATGTCTTGGCGATTGCTAGATGAAGAAAAACTCCTCTGATTAGGGGTTATGGACAAGGCATCAGTGTAGTTGGTGTGTGTGTGCCACAGATCCAGAGTGAGGAATCCTTTATTAAAAATTGGTTGGCCCCTTTTACACACTCACTCAATCTTATCACTTCCTCTCCTTGATCCCTTTTCATTCCTCACATCCGCACGTACACCACTCTCACACCCCTCTAACAAGTGTTACACATACACACATATATATGGAGCAGATCCAGGATTTCAAACAATTGATACGCAATAATTTGCTCATAATGAGCGCTCAAGAACTTCTCGTTAAGACTACACGTTAACACCAAATGTAAAAAGCCTACTTGGTTCGGAGCACTTTGACAATGTGGTCAATTTTCTCGTGTTTCAGGAAATCTTCGAAAGGTTTCTTCAAAAATGGTTTTTCACTGAAGTCATCCACTATTATAATCTCCTTATAACTCTTTCGGAGACCTATTCATAATAGAGTAGACCGAGCGCAATAGAGTGGAGTTGTGCTGCAATGTACATTATCTTCGAGAGATGGACCTTTCAACGATACTATTCGAATGTCAAAAAACGAACCTCTTCATGCATAGGAAAAATTACTGAAACCATCGGAAGTTTGGAATGATACTGCATTTGTTTGCACTGTGGATGACGAATATCTTTCATAGATCGATTCAGTGAAATCAGATCCGAGATATACGCATTATAACCATTCGCTTTATATAAAGCTAGCTGGAAACATTACCGACCAAAATTTTTCGAATTTCCGGAAGTACAGCACTCCTTAAAATTCTTAACAGCTTCACGTTCGACAAGTTCGTCCTTCGGGAGTTGGACTGGCTTTCCCTGCTCGCCTGGTCCAACTCGAGCCTGATCAGCTACGTATTCTTCAATATTTTCCCAATTCTGAAACAGAATGCCAAAATTCTAGGAATCAAAAGAAAACTAAATCGAGTTTTCTATCAGGTATATGAAGGTTCCAAAAAGAAAACTACACACTCAAATTCCCTGAACAAGTCACTCTCAATAATTTTTTCCCATCATTACAGAGAAATCTATCACAATATGTTATACTCGAGGCTTTCTGCCCAAAGAGATACTGGATTTGCAAAAAAAAAATCCAGAAGGAATTGCTGCCACCAGATCAAAAAACCGCATTGGCAACTCGCGAGAAACTTTCTTTGCGCTTCAACACACATGCAAAATTTAGATGAAAGCAACAAAAACAAGAGCAAGAAATAAATAAGAGTAGGAAAGCCAATTAAAAAGAGGAAAAAACTGCCACTATTTCCGATGTTGGCTGCTGTTTTCACGTTAGACGTGGAAGTGTCTATATGAAACGGTAAATGTACCATCAGAAGGTAAGTTAGGGTGAAATGGTGCACTGGTAGTGTAAGTGGTAACACAATTACTCAGCATACAAGAAATGAAAGATGTTCGAGTGTTGGCTGAGGACAAGGTTTACCCTTATTCAACATAACTGTCAAAAAATGTGAGATAACGAAAGAAAAAATAGGAAACTAAGTCACACCTGGATTAAGCATAAAGAGTTGCTCTATGTCTTTTTGGCTCGCGTCACACATTCTACTTCGCAATTCACAATCGTGGCGGCATTTCGAATATCGTCTTACAATGATTCGTGCGGAGCAATTAAAAAAAACCTCGATGTTTTTATCCCTACATAAGAATGTGATTACTCAAATGCCCCGGCTCCCAGACAATACCTAACCATTTGGGCGCGGCCGCGGCGAACGCGGCCGAGTTGATAGGTGCCCGCGAACTCAGCACAGCACAGTTCGCGGGCACCTCGAGTGCGTTTTCAACGGTTCGCGGGCACAATCGACTCGGCCGCGTTCGCCGCGGCCGCGCCCAAATGGTTAGGTATTGTCTGGGAGCCGCTGATCCCGCCAGCATGTAGACGGCTGGTCGGCCTGGACGGCAAACGATCCAAAATTCGAATTCCGAACTACACATGTCGAAAATGCGTGAGAGAGATTCAGAGTCGGCGATGTGAGTAGTGACTTCGCCGCGTACGCAGTGAAACGCCGACTTCACACACAACACACGTCACAGCAGAGACAGACTGTGATCCCGAACACCCTCGATGAAAACTAACAACCCTCACCTTCCTCGCGACAGAAACAACACCACTCCCTGTCGAGGAAGAATAGCAGCATCCGTCCCACACACAGTCATCACCCGCCACCACGCCGCCCTGGCCCTACCCCCTCGACTCCTGTTTTTTTTTTCGCATCAGCGTTTTCTGCTAGAGTTTGAGGAGACTTAGGTAGAATCGGGTTTTATCAAGACGACGCTACTTGCTTTCCACGCTTCCTCGCTAGAGTTTGGAAGAAACTTAGATTGGATCCCAATACTGTGATTAGGGGGGAAACTAGATAGATTCTCGTCAATTGTAGTAGAGGGATGTTTTGTACCATTGCATAATCTCAGTCAAAACTTGATTTCATATTCAACTTATCAGAAGCAAAACGGGTAATGGCCTCGAAAGACTAAATTTATTAAGATAAGTACCAAAGGAACAGAAGGCAACCTACCTATTGGCGCATTCTATCTTTCTCCAATATCCACTCATCGACTTGTTCTCCGAACTAACTTTCGCTGACGCCTCCGCCCTGGCCCACCCAACTTCTATTTCCTAACATGAGCATCACCCTACTTGCATCATGACATGCTGTATTTACCACATTGCACCGCAGAACTCACTGCCTTCATGGTCTATGAGTGCATTTTCGCGTATTCGCGGTGCAGTGACAGCAAAGAAGGCTCCATATAGAACGTAGACGAACCCGGCAAAGAAAACATACTTGAGTAGAGTCACGTACCGTCGGCTAACATACCGACTTATTCCCATTCCTGAAACCAGTACTGTAATAATGCCAAAGAGGCAATTACCAATTTAGTTACGTGGCTTAATCCGATCTGCAAAACGTGAGCCCTACGACATAGTTTATCACCTTTGGAGATCGACTGTTGGAGAGATATCGATAATGATAACTTCCAGCAGTGAAATCGCTATGCATGTATCAATTGAATTCAAATTCAAAATCAATAATCGCAAAATAAAAGCTCATTTTAGAGCACGCATGGTAATGTGTTAAAGGAGACAGTCTTATTTGGCCGCAAAACAGAGTAAAATGAAGGTGAATGTGCGTAGCTTTCATAGAATTCGTTGAAATAAGGCCTGTAGAATGGATTTGTAATCATGTAGCCATTAAGGATTAGTGAAAATCGTTGTACTCGCGATCTGTTTATCACGTAAAATGACGTCATACTTTAGACAATGCAACACTGTACACATTTAGCGCTTTCGGAATATAAGGAGGAATTGAAGAGGCAACTCATATGAGGCCGCTTTTAAGAACTTTTTTTTCACATGGGACTTTAAATTTCTCCTCACGGCGCGCTCGCGACGTTTGAAACCAGTGAAATACACCCATTGAATCGCAGGAGGTCATGCCACAAAAAGGTCATTACGGCTTCGTCACATACTGATGCAAAACACTTTTGAATTGTCACCAATTGATTTACACCAGAACTGTGGAATTTCAGTAAGGTAAGGAGGAATGTCATGCTAAACGCATTCCTATTCTTTCCGAAAGGTGATGCTTCTTGAGTATGGCTGTAGCGGAAAAAAAAGAGCGGCGTTGCGGAGAATGATCGATTGACAAGGGAAACGGACATAAAGCAGGCACCATTCAAGAGGGAACAGAAGATGCAAATTTAGGTTACCAGATGTGGTTCTAAGCTGAATTCAGCAAAACGCTTGTAATGTCGACTGTTGAGGGGGGATGGTCGTAGTGGTGGAGGGTGATGATATCGCCATCTGGAACTTTACGATTATAAGTGCGACCGCATTTTCCTTCCTTACAACGTCGCGGTGTTTTTTTTTCAGCTGACGTACAGGCCGATACCTATTTTTTGCACTTATATCGGAGTTGACCTTGAGCGCGATCTCCGAAACATCCTTTAAGAAAAAAAAAACGACTTTTTTGTAAGCCTGAAATCTTGCTCGGATCTTCGCACTCTTTTGGAAAAACAGACATAAAAACTCCAGACAGCAAAAAAATGGTTTCACCTTAGATACGAATACCGTGGGAACAGTGTATTCTGTACACTTTGCTAAAAGACTAAAGTACTTCAGTGCTATAGAAAGCGAAATTCTCATAAAGCAACACTGAGAAAACTACTTGGCGCAATGTGGCTCGGGGGGGGCACCTCGCAACATCGCGTCAAAATCACGGAAACGCTCCGTTTTAGGACTAAGCTTTTGAAGAGGAGAGGAACTCCGGTGTACGGAAGCAATTTTCGTATTCTCCGGAGTTCGTCCCTGCTGTTTAGGCTTAGTCCTAGATGACTTTTCTCAGAGTGGCCCCCCGAGCCACACTACGCCAACTACTTTTTAAGTAAGCGCCACGATTGAGCAAACTTTGGCACTTTATGGTCCCTCCTTTCACTAACGTGAATACTCCCGTCGAGAGATTTGCGACCACGGCTTTGATCCTGCATGTCCTCACATCTGATTCCCATATCCACACATTCACGCTAACTCTGTTTATGGCGGCGAAGTCTAGCCACACAAGCTGATTCAAATCAAATCATAAAGATTCACTTAAAGCCACGAGTCAGGATTAGGTGACCATAGAAGGCCTTTCCATCACTAAAATTTCCAGGAATGCGCTCAGAGGGGTGTTGCCGCACTCCTGACTCGAGATTGCGCGCCGTCAAGGTTTCTGGCCTACAACTTATAGCGATGGGTTTGTTACATCAGCTGGTCCCGCCCACCGCGGGATGTGGTGCGTGGCTGGCCTAACGTGTGAGATCAGCTAGGTTGATTGCCGTATCAACCGATGGAACGGCTGGCATATCCGGAAAACTCGTTTGGACGTGGCTCTCCCCCGAGCAAGCCTCCTTCACTGCTAGAAGGAAGGGGTTTCGATTTCGGTCTTGTCGACGGTTTCTTTGCGTTTTTTCTTCACTGTCGTTCCACCTCCCATCTCTACACTCAATTTCAGGCGCCATAATGCCCAAACACGAGCCTGACTTTTGCCTTTAACAGTACTTCTGACTGGTGCATAACGTTACCAACTCATTGAAGGAAGGCGCTAACTTAGTTGGGGGGGCCACGCGGCGGCGCGGCAGTCTGCTCGCCTGGCATGTTTCGGGAAATCCGTGAGCCAGGGGGAGTGTAGGCAGTCTAGGGGGTGGGGGGGGCAGTCACTTGACATGCGTGAAAAGCTGGAATGTTCGAGTTTACACTGTCTCGCTCGAGAGAGCGCCAGGCGAGCAAAGCGCCGCGCCGCCGCGTGGTCCCCCCAACTAAGTTAGCACCTGAGGGAATAGCCTGGTATTTCACAATGTGGGACAACTATGCAGAAGCTCATCGAATGTCCGCAGAGGTTAGAGTATTGAACAAATGACCGCGACTGAAGAAGGATTGGGTTGCTCTACTTTCTTCTTTACTGATAGGGAATCAGATACCGCAATAATGACGTCTACTCAAACCAGAGCGCCACATATAGCACTAACCACAATAAATATCAGCGCCTTTTCAGAGCTGCTGATATGAAGCGATAAAGAAAGGCAGCGAGAAGCATATCACAAACCTTTCCAAAAGCTTTGCTACTGGCCGTAAAACGAAACTTATTTCAGTAGAAGTAGAAAATGCCTCGTGAAGAACACTTATTGAGAAAAGAACGTAAGAGTAGAACATTTCCTAACGCTTCAAAATGGTCGAAAACGCGAATAAGGTGGAAACGTGGCCCTGTAGGTCTTCCTCACATTCCGAAGAAATCAAGCCTAACGTGATACATTTGTGCATTACCCGGTCCCCAATGGGATAGACTACGATGCACTATTGTAGCACCCAGACAAGAATGAATTGATCGTATCAATAAATGGTCACAAAAATGCAAAAAAAAGAAGGGTAGTATCTGTCTCAGAATAAGAATTGCTGATGTCAGATGAAGTAAAACGAAATCAATTGACAAGAACCGCGGCTCGGAAAGCGATTTCAATCCAACTACGATATTAAACTCCGGCTCGAAAACTGGACACGTACATTAATAAATCCCCCCCCCCAAAAAAAAAAAACAATTTCGAAAAAAAAAAAACTGCTGCGTAGCCCTGCCATGGAGAACAGTGCAGTTTGGGAATGACTAACGATTTCCCATAAAACGCGCGAGGGAAGCAACGGCAAAAATGCCACGTGGGCTAGTGAACAGAATTATTAGCGGCGACAGAGCCACGCTGATCACACAAACCAACACGATAAATTCCACACCATGTTTGCTCGGGCAATTGATTCTTCATTGAACCTCACAAGCCTGAATTCAGCCACAGCCTTCAATCAATAAATCACTGAATAAACCGTTTTGATAAGAAAACAGAAAAGCTATAAACAATACTTTATTACCGACCAACATTGATATTGTCATACATTATACGAAGTTGGTTCTTTTTTTTGTACGAACAATAAGAACAACAGAACAGCTATAAGCTTGCTATCCACGAGAGGCTCTTTCGTCAGTTGCCGCGGTTCGAACTTGCGTCCCTTTGATCGCACGTATGGCTTCGTGTGACTGTGTGGGACTCCTGGAGCAAGACCAAAGTGCTTTTGAGCTTCACGAGCTTTGCGTGGGCCCTGAAACAGAAAAGTTGAATGAAATATCAAAGGAGGCTTCACTGTACGTAGTTAAAAAAAGTGAATGTACATTTTTTGCAGCAAACTAATAACGCATACGATCGTGAATTTTCCTAGCAGAGTACGATTGAAGAGGAGGTGGAACAATTCAGGTCAAGCGCAGACAGTGCCTCTCCAATCCCATTACTTAGTTCCATAAATTTTTTGCCCTTTTTGAGATGAGATAGTAATGCCAAGGCGTGGTACAGACTTTCTCAGTAAAGAAACATCGTCGATAAAGCCTATGTCCGAATAAGTTCTGACTACATGGTCAGCTTAGTTTCCACATAGTGTGAGGTCTTTGACCTCGCAAGAATAAGTATCATTCCAATAATACGTATTGATACGCATAGGTCTTAGCATTTTCAACAAGTACGAAAAAAGTATGGGGAATGGTTTACGGACATTCAAAACCAAGAACGCTCCTGAAATCGAATCGACCGATTCTAGAATGAACACTAGCCCAAATGCGTTGGGCCCCGTTCCTAAAATCGCGATCAATGCCATTTAACGATTATGCTGAGAGGAAGACATACGCATCGATCTAAAAGTTTGCCGATTATGCGATAAAGAGATTTGGCTATTTGGCGATTATGGCTCAAGGACTTGATGCATATTGATCGAACTGACCCCGCCCAGTGACCATACGTCGATGTGATATGTCGACAATCCCTCAGTCGATACGCACACATTCCTTTCGAGATAAACGCCAAATCGTCAAACCGCATCAATCGCGATCTATGAACAAGGCCTTGGACATCTATTCCTCCCCACCTTTAAAATCAACTGCCAAAATTATGCACTCAATACGCTCCATCTCCTACTCCCCCCACCCGCAACACCAGTTCAAGTGACCCCTTCGTGACAAGTCCTACCTAGTCGTGCCTGAATATCACCCCAAAATTTGAATGCGAACGGAGCATAGGCGATTGTCCATACAAGAAAATTGTAAAATTTCCTCGAATTTCTTCAATTTTTCTTTTCGGCAAATTCGCCAAACATTCATGAAGGAATCCGAAAAATTTCTGAATACTCCTGGCATTCCTAAATCCATAAAACGCCCACCACTCTAATCCATAGCTGGTTTCACCAAATGATGACCCTCCCGCCTAAAAGTGCTCCCTCAATTCCCAACGTCTATATGACACCAGCAGGAGAGGAGCATGGAGTGAACAGATGTGGCGCGAATAACTGACGTAAAACTGCATACATTGACAAAAAATAAAAACGCTTCAGAGGCAAGAAAAACCTAATCTGCTGATCTACGAAAACAAATGCTAAATGGTGACGCAACTGTGCCAGCAATACGTGACTGGACCAACTCCTTCACCTCCAAGACCCGAGCAGCGTGAAGCATGTTTTCCCTCTTTCGTACTTCACTTTTCCCACTCTCGTTGCCCACTCTGGTAAAACAGCTCTCTCATATATCCCAGCTTCCAGATCAACACGTGTACTTAGAGGTGAACGTATGCTTGTGTAAGACCGCCGTCACACTCGGCGAAGGACAAGCGATGGAGCAATCGTGATCGCCCCATCGCTTGCCCGTCGCCGAGTGTGACGGCGGTCTAAGAGAGAGATCAGAAACTACTGAGGGAGGAGAATTGTAATGCGGTTATTGCGGGTGCCGCACTCTCTTTCCTTGTCACAAAGGCTAGGGCGCAGCTGAATGAAAAGTTGTTTGGAGGCTTAGAGACAGGTAAAAAAAAAGAGAACGCGCAACAACAGCGGAGTGGAACCCCTTTTCTGACATTTCCGCACTCGATGAGAATTTTAGAATAACTGACATACTCAACCCGAAAGTCTATCCACTACCTTTGCACATCCTTTAGCCAAAATCCTTAATCACCAACCAACCATAAGTTGAATCAACCATTCAAATGCAGAGCTACACACGGAGGCAACGGTCCCCACGGGTGAGGCATTACTTACCACTTTGGGCACGCTCTTTGCCGCGAGAATGAAACGTCTCGTTCCCAAACTACTAAGCCTCCTTATTGTAGGGATATCCTTGCTCATGTAGGTTATCATACGACCTGCCTTTAAGGTAGAAGAAAAATGAAGAAACAGGAAGTCGGCATTGGAGCATTACAATTCTCCCGTAGTCGCCTAATCATAGACTACATAACACCGTTGCATCACTTTTTCATACGCGTCGAGAGTGATTTTTGGCGATGATAAATCACTCAGACAACTTGAAAAATGACTCAAAGGAAGAGTAGAACAAGGTAGGATCCTGTCAAGCATGACTCACTGAGGCAAGGAGGAGGATCGGCACTACAAGTTATCAACAACAATTTGTGGTAAATATGAGGTAT